GTGATAGAAGTTGATAAATAAGAGTAGATTCTCTTGGAATTTTATAGTGACAATTTGATTTTGAGCAAAAGTTAATATTATAAGACTTGACAAGGTAAATAAGTAAATTATCATATTGTATTTAAGGATTTATTGATTTTGGAAAATACAGAATAATTGACAGCTTTGAGTTTGTATAGCATAAATTTCAAGTTTTTTGAGTGGTTTAATAATAGGATTAAATAATACATATTGAAGATTGAAGATTAGAACTTTTAATTATAAATCAAATATAGATTTGATATTTAAGATATGTGAGTTGTAGAATCATAATAAAGAAAGTATTTTTTTAATATTAAATTTGTATTTGATTGTTAAATAAATTTTTGTTTGGTTTTTATTAAACATATTTGAAATGAGAAAGATTACTTATAGCTTGTATTCAATTTGTGAAAAAAGAACTTTGTTGTAAATATAAAAGCTATGTGACTTGTTATATATTTTTATTTGAGTAATTATGAAATTGTTTCCATGTTCTTAAGAATTTTGTTTCTGTTAAAAGCAAGTATGCTATGTTCAAATAATCATATATTCAAAATTTATATTGATTCTTTTTTGGAAGTTAATTGTATAAAAGTTGTTTCTTGAAAGATTTTACTATCTGAAGATTTGCAGTTTGATATAATTAGTTTAGTTTTGATTAGGTTAACTTTAATGTTATTAAGTTAAAAAAATTCAGTTGTGATATTAAAATTGTTTTGGATTTCTAATTTAGAGGTTATTAAGAAATTGAGATCATCTATATATGTTATAGTATTTGAGTTATGCTAGTTATTGAGCTAAAGCAATAATTAAGAAATTATAGAAAATTATTTATCAGAGAGGTAATAACGTTTCTCTTTGATTTATTCTGTAAGTATATTACTGATTAGTAAAATAAATTTTTTTTGAAATATAAAGATATTGCATTAAGTATTTAAGCATGTTCAAGTTTAGTAAATTAAAGATTATACTGATATTAAAAGAGAGAATTCACAATTCTTTTATATAAGTATTATAGGTTGAGTTAAGGATTTGAATTGGTTCAAAGATGCTTTGATTAGAAAGGTCTGCAAAATTTGCTTTTTGAAGAATATTATATATTGTTTTTTTTTGTTTTTTTTTTACTGTAAACAAGTATTAAATACAGACCCTTATTAAATAAATCATTTATAGTCATTATATTAAAGATCTATTACACTACTTTTATAAAAACTAATTCTAGTCTATTGAATATATGAATCTCTAATTTGCAAGAACACCTAATAGGCAGAAACAAATTATTAGTGGTTCATGGGTGATTAATTCTTATCCATAAACAGTTATGTTTAGTTAGACAATAATATAGTAGATTTTTAGGAAGTTAATCTTGATTTGATAAGTTTTTAATATGTCTTTGTGTGATATTGTTATTGTTGTCATTTCTAATAGGTTAATACAGGTTTGATTCTTGTTGCATTGGAGTATCAAGATTTGATTGGCTATTAAAATTGTGTAAATAATTTGAAGAAGTTAAACTGATTTTGGTTTTTGAGTTTGAAAAAAATTTTGATGTCATTGAGGTAATGCAATAAAGCATACCATATAAATGTTATCTAGAAGAATTTGTTAAGACAAGTAGAAGAACCTATAACTTTACTTGAATGAATTTTTAGGAGAAAGTTGGCAATATTAAAAATAATAAGAAAAATAATTATTATAATAGTAGTAGAGGAGAGATATAAGAATAATGTTAAGAAAAAGGATGGTCATGAGCATTTCTTTATGTAAACAAAGAGCAAATAAAACTCCTAAACTTGTTTGGCATTTGACTAGAGGTCCTATTCCAATATAACAATAGTTTTTAAAGTCATTATGTCCTTGAGCTTATGGCATAGTTGACATATTGAAGAGAAAGAGAATTGTGTTTTTTTCAAGAAAATTACTATAAAAGAAAATTTTTAAGAAATCAATGATGAATAAGTGAGAGTTTTTTTTTTTAAAAATGTATATTGTTAATTCTTTTTGTGAGAATTTTGATCAATATTTTTCTGAAGAAATTGACAAGTACTATGGGCTTGTTTTCTATATATTGTATTTTATTGTAATTTTTTATTAATTAAAGAAATAAATAATTTTTCTAGTTAGGATTTTCTGTAAGTAGGGATTATGAAAAATCAATTCAAAACCATATTCATAATCTAACAAATGATTGACATTGTGCATATATATAAAAAGTTTATTGTAAAATTATTTAAAAAAGTAAAAAATGTACATCAATTGTCAACTTTTAGATATCCAATCAAATTTAATGAAACTTATACCATTCGAAAACTCATCAATAAGTTATTTTTAGATTTGTATGTGATCCTTAAATCCTTAATATCAAGATCACCAAGTTGCTCACATGATTTAGCTATTTGCTAACTATTTCATTACAAGAAATTTCATTTATTAAGCTATTATTGCATGATATTAACTATCTAAGACTTTTTAAATCTTAACTAATTCAAATATAAAATTCTATTTAACTTTAGAATTAAGCTTTTAGTTATATAACTAACAATTAAATATAAACCATATTTCTATTATTTTAATCTTTATTTTAATAACTTATATATAAGATATTGTATTTTTTTAGAAAATATTTTATATATGTTTTTACATTTAAAAATTTTTATTTCAAACTTTAAAAGACTAATAATAAATTTTAACTTAAAAAAATCTTATTATTAAAATTTCCAAATATCTACAAGTTAACAAATAATATATTTTTTAATCTTACTCTTTGCAAATTCAATTTACCATTTAATATTTTTGCATAAAAAGAAAACATTTCAACTACATGCTCAAATTTTTAATAAAGGTATAGAAACTCTATTCTGTTATAATTTTAATATTACTATTTCCAAGTATCAAACAGAAATATATCAAATAGTTCTTACAAATTTTAATAAAAATAACAAAGCTATATTTTCAAATATATTTAATCTATAACTTCAATAACAAACAAATTTTTATACTATTAATAATCTTATTATTCTGAATAAGCATCAAACATTTAGTATTATTGATATGATATATATTTGTATTAATAGCATATAATAAGCTATAATAAATTTACTTTAATAAAGATTATTAATATATTAATAATAATCATTTTTTAAATAAATTCTTGCATTAGTGTCTATTTGTAATAAAAACAAATTAATTATATATACAATTAAGTCTGGAAAACAAAGATTATATATCTGTTCTTGAATATATTCATTATATAATAGAATATAAAAAACTTCCATAAAATCTATAAACACAACTAAACTTGATAAAATCAGCACTTATACCAATTTTTATAATTCATTTGATTATGAATTCTTATGATAATTTAGTTAATTAAAAAAGTTAATAATTTAAATATAACTATCCAATAAAGATTATGGTAGCAGAATATTATTTAAAGCTTTTGCAATTTACCTATAGTAGTGATATTAGTTTCAAGAGCAAATATAATTAACATAATAAAGAAACTATAAAGGAAACTTAAACTTACTATCATAAAATCATCAAATTTTGTTATCTTTACTATGAATGAAATTAAAAAAAGAATGTTAAAGAATAATTACAGTAAAAATAATAGTTGGTAGAATCAAATGCTTACTAACTTTTAAGTAATAGAGTTTGCTGAAAAGATAGTTTTACTAAGAATGAATTGGTTTCAAAAGGTTGATCATTATATACATTTCGATGAACAAAAACAAATGTTACAATGTCAAGAAAGGATACAGAAACCGCCTTAAATCAGATTATAGACAAAACCATCAAGCTATTTATAAAATAATTCCTGTAATAATAAAGGTTTTTTTGATAAATACAAGAAAAAAAAAAGATCTTGGTTAATTAGAAACTCCTTTACAAAGAACATTGATGAAAAGATAACTAATAATTTAAAATTAAAGAACTTAATTTAGCAATATATCTGACCAATCTCAAAAATCTTGGCAAAGGAAGATAATAAAGGTGATAATCAGAAAAGGAATTATAAAAGCCCAGTACAAAATGATAACATAATGAAGAGCAACAGAAGAAGGTTATTGAACTACTAAATAAAAACAGAGATCTATTTGCAAGAGAATTGACGAACTAACAAGGTGCAATATGAGATTGATACAGGTAACGCTAAACTGATTTAACAGGCAGTATGTAGAGTCTCATTAAACAAACAGTAGTTTATAAGGGAAAATATAACTAAAATGAAAGAAAGTAGATTTATTAGAAAAGTAAAGAGCCTTTAGACGTCCCGGTAGTGATTGTGCCAAAAAAAAAAAGAGAAACCCAGATTACGGTAGCATAATAATAGTTTAATTAGACTATCATTACATCACTTATAACGATATAATACGAACCTATATCGCAATTTTACCCACACTCAAAGGTGGTTTATTTCATAATTCTGGCCACGTGTGAGGATGACCTCCTTCTACATAGCGATTTCAAAAAAATAACCACATAGAAGTGCACCTATACCATGTGGCCTAAATCATGACTCTGACCATATTCAAAGGTGATCTATTTATAAATCTGACCACATCGATGTAGGTCACACAGGAACCAGTCAAAATTTAGATACATAACGGATAAATATTACGTAATTTTTGTATACCAGCTTAATGTTTTCAACTGATTTTTATTGTAAGGAAACAGGTATTAGGTTATGATGAGTCACTCTAGAATGATATTCCTATTTGTTGTCACATTTTGTCTGAGATGTGAAAATAGAATTAAATTCGTGTCGTTATCCAAAGATGTGCTGAAGTCATAGAAGGATGTGTCAACGGGTATTCTCATTATTTTTTCTAGAACCGACAATTTAGTAGATTATTTACATTATAAAAACAATAACAGGCGACGGCCTTATTAATTCCCATAAATAGGTACAAAGACGTGTAACTTAAGTAAAATACATAAAGGATCACAGTATCTATAATATCATCGTAATAATCAAAATGTCTGCAACAGACGATATACTATACCAATTAAAAAATGAAGATACTCGTAAGGATGCATTTAATAACTTAAAAAAAATCCTTTTAAAAAATAATAATGATACCAAGAGCAGCAAATTGTATAATTGTATCTCTTATATTGCTTCACACACCTACTACTTTTCTGATGATGAATACGAAGAAATTGCAAAACTCGCGCTGTCTAATAATGTCATTACTAAAAAGCAGAAAGAGAATATAGAATATTGGATAGGAAATCGAGAACATCTCATCGAGAAAAGAGAGAACGAAGGAGAGAATATGGGCGGATACTTTGTTTATTATGATGGACCGGACGATATGGATCGATATTTAGGACATGGAGAGTTTGATGATGATGTTGGATACATTATGTATGATTAATTGGAGATTCTCATCTTGTCAGCTCAGTGATTCGACTTTTTTTGAGAATAATGTTCTAATAATGATAATTATACTTTATCTCACCTTAAATATCAATCCACATGCTTATATTATCGAATGTATATATTATTTTTGTATTACACCTTCCTTATCTTCAAAAGTTTGATACACTTACATTGCTCTGTATCAGAAAATCAAACCAATATTTATTGGGATTGTTATAAATAAGCATTATTATAATAATCTGTGATTATTTTTGTATAATAGGCGGAATACAATTTATATATCATCATTATGAACATTAGGCTACATGCTGATACAGTATAGTAAAAATCATCTTATTTATACATAAATATTATCAAGTAATACTACAAATATATAAAGCTATAACTATTTCTCTTGTCCCTAGTATTAAGATGTGTTTATTCACCTACTCGACTTATACATTATGTTTATTATCCTAGAATGCGGTTAAAATATATCTGCTCGCATCCCAATAAAAAATCCGTCCTGGTTATTCCAAGTTTATCCAAGTTACATATATTTTTATCTGTCATCGAAAATTTTTGTTGACAGAATCTCTATTAATTTTCAGCTTTTTAATCTATTTTTATTATTTTCTTCTATACTTTTACCAAAGTCACTACGATTAGTAGAGAAATCGAAACTTTTGGCAGCATACATGTACTTTAATATACACTGACTCCCAAAAACGCAACACTAAAAAATTGATAAGATCAAATCAAATCATGACTAAATTAATAGTATACACAGTGCATACAGAATAATAGCAATTAATAGAAATCTACTATTTCCCAACTTTTGACATTTTTTGTGAAATATAAAAATGCAAAAATCCTTTCAAACTTTGTACAAACCAAATTTTTTCAAGACAAATATCAAAAAACAAGAGATCAAATGCTATTACTGTATCTTATTAAAGGGAGATTATAGTTTATGTTAGGTTACTGCTAAAATTGGTCGCAGGCCTTAATAAAATATAAAAATAAATTTTGATGTTAACACAATTGGAATAATTCTTAAAAAAAAACAAATTTATAGCATATACACAGTACAAAAGATTTTTTTAAAATAAGAATAAAAAAAATCCAATTGAAATTTGCAAAAACATAAGAATTAAATCATATAAGATCAAAATATAGTAATATGGTCAGATAAAATTAAATTTTAATATTTGAAGTTGAAGAATATAAACAATGCTAAAAAAATTTCAGGATCAACTTATAATTCTTACAAATTATTTAGTAAAGATAGTGTTAATATATAAGAATGTTTCTTATAATACAGAGTATCAGTTAAGATTGGAAGAAAATCTTAATATTAAGGTTTATACACAAATTTAAAAAGAAAATAATATATTCATTAAAATATACTTTTAGCTTCCAATAATAATATGTTTTAACATTAAAAAGTCAAAATAGTTCAAAAATAGTTAAATAACAACAAAATTAAAACTGTTTATTGACTATTAAAACTTTGCAAATTTTAATTTAATATACATTAGAACAAAATTAGCATTTTGTCATTACATAACAATTAGTAATTATGTACTGTCAAAAAATATTTGAATATAGTATAAAATGATTGAATTTAATAGATAATGAGGTGAGTAGTTAGATAAGAGATAATTTATTATGACTTGTAGGTCAATATTATAGTGATAAATACTATTAAATTCATGTCTCTAGTTCAATACTCACTGAGAACATAGCTCATAAATTTACTAGTTTTTTTATATATGTCATATTTAAACATTCAAATTAAGATTATATTTAATTAGGCTATATGATAATAGATCTCTTGTCTTTTTGATGATTGCAGATTAAAAACTAATTAAAGCTGGAAAGTTTGCATAAAGAAAGACTTCTGGTTTAACTCTAATAACAAGCTCATAATCCCAACTGGTATGGCAGACTTTGTAGCATAATATATTGACTTGATATAAGATTAACTTGAAAGAGATCACTAATATGAACAATAAAATATAGTAGTAATAACTTCAAAAAAATTTTAGTGATTCATTGCATACATAAGAGTTGTATTCTGCTTGACATTTATACTCTTATATTTGATAGTTTAAATTAATCGGTATTTATTAAATTATTTGTTAGAAGATATAAGTGTTGCTTCCTATTTGGCCAACTAAACTTGAGATTTGGTAGTCTGCACTAATTAATGAATTCCTTGAAATATTTATTAGAAAATATATATACATACTAAATATCTTTTGATTTTACATTTGCATAAACCAAAAATGAAATATAGAAAGATAGTTTTCTGATAATTAACATGTTCTTACAAAAATATAATATGCCTTTTTCATAACAGATACAGTTAAAGACAGAACCTAATAAATTAGATGATTTAAACTAGTGGTAGAATTTCTACCCTATGTAAGTTTCACATGATATGCAAACCATTTACTTGATGTTTAAAGTTACATACTATCAGGTATACTGGAGCTATATATAGGTAAGTCTCCAGCTAAAAATAGTTAATTAGATAGTATTGACTTTAATTATTTTAAAAAGAGTATTGCTAAAATTCTTTCTCAAAACTTTTTAACTCATAAAAAATTTCTTTTTTGAATAATATGACAAGAACTGTGAATTAATTAACAGTGCTTAAACTTTATCTTTATTACTTCTTTGGGATATGCCCAGTGTACAAAAATAGGATCAAATTATAGATGCGTTCCTTTTCCATCCTATTCACAGCTAATATCTTGTTTAAATCTTGTCAAATCTTGTTTATCTCCTTACGTGTACTATCCAGGATCTGAAATATTTTCTATTTCCTCTTTAAAAAACACATCATACTTACCCATTTATCCAATAACGATATAAATAGGAACTAATTCATTTCTTAATTTTTAAAACATTAAAATATAATTCAAAAATAATTATATATTATAACAAATAAGTGTCACTGCTAATGAACTCGATTAATTCTTTTAGTTCGTTGAAATAGAATGAACAAGAAGGGATTACGTTTGAAGGGACTAGTACAAATAGAATAACGCGAAATAGAAGACGAATAAAAGGTAGATCAAAGCATAATGGAGCAATGTTATCAAGGTGAAAGAGGAACTACGAACTATTACCCATATTTTATCTTCATTAGCATTAATTGAATAAAGACCTGAGTGAAATAATAAATATTAATAAAGTTTTTATTTATCTCGAAATAGATTCATTTAAATATAAAATTTATCGGCCCATGTTTTGCTTAAGGAATTTCAACTTCATAACCTAGTGATTAAAAAATATATATATTCAGAGATAATTGTTATGAAATTGAATCAATAATCACCATTTCTATTGTTTTGTTGCTTACCTTAACCAAAATTCCGTTGAATTTTTTGGCTCAGGAAGATCCTTAAAGTCGAGAAGTCGACTAGTATATATTGCTAATGAATGTGTCTGTGTCGCAATGTATACAGAACTTGATGTCCTGATCTTACGGTTACTTTGTTCAATTTGCTTAGAAAACGTTGAATGGGGACGTTCCATATAGCGACGCCATGAATCTAAAATCTCACACAATTCATGTGCTTGTAATCGGTTCTGCGGATTGGCATCCCAACATTTTTGCATCAGAAGAATTACTAATTCTGGCAGGTTACTTTGGATTTTAGGTCGGAACCCATCACAAATTCTAATTGCCAAATCTTGATCGTGTGGAATTTCGTCAAAAGAACGAGTACCAGATAATACTTCAGACATGATAACTCCAAATGCATAAATGTCTGCTGCCTCCGAATATTCCTTTCCGCATAATACTTCGGGTGCTACATATGGAAGCACACCATATATTTTTCGTTCTTTGACTTTACTAGTATATACGGCAGTTTGTTTAGATAAGCCCAGATCTGTTATATAAGGACCTTTTCCGCTCGAGAAAATAATATTCCCAGTATGCAAATTTCGATGAACCAATCCAGATTCATGCATTTGTTGTATACTATCTGCGATTAGAAATAAAATATAAAACTTACATGTCCATGAATATTTGTAAATTTTATATAGATTATTTCTAATATTTCCACCATCTATAAATTGCATAACAATCATATAATCATTTGTTCCTTCATGCCGAGTAATTCCATAACACCGTGTGATACGAGATTCATTGCAGTAAAAATTCTTTGTCTATATTGCAAAATAACAGTTAAAATCAGCTAGACTTATTAAGAAAAAATATATTATTAGTCACCTCATTTAAAAATTCGCTAGTTATATCTTGTGAATAATTAAGGTATTTCAGTACAACTTTTGTTTTTCCCGTCCTTTCCCACTTGTTCTCTGCTGCATTCCAATAAAGAATAGCTCCGCCAATCCATTCTGCCAAGTATACTTCGCTAAATCCACCTTTGGAAAAAAACCTCACGTTCTTAAATTTTGAATACGGAATCCACTCAAAAATACTATATTCTCTAGTTGCTGTTAACTGCATTTCCCTTATAAATTCGTCAATATTATTATCTCCACTTTTCCAAGTGCCAAAATTTTGTTGAAAACGAGAAGAATTACAAGGCTGGCACCAATAGCGACTTGTTGTTTCTTTAAAGCACTGATTACACTTTCGTCCTATGATAATAAATTGTATTTTATAAATAACAACGAATAACAAAAATTCCCTGGATTCAGCTTACCAGCTACAATAATAAAAGATACAGTATAATTAAATCTCATTTAATAGAATACAGTATAACAAAAACTCCCTAAATTTAACTTACGACCTACAATAGTAGAGATAAGAACCTCATTTAATATGATTTTACAAAACAAATAACAATTTTCTAGACTTAACTTACCCCCTATAAAATTTGACAATCAATTTAATTTACTAAATGACTGTAATAACAAAAATTTCCCGGGCTTAACTTACTCCCTATAAATTTGATAATTTATTTCATTTTATATAATTTACGAAAAATATGAAAATATAATGAGATTTGCCCCAAATGGGTTTAACTT